CCACGTTTGCTCTAAAAGGTTGTATTTCGTGACAAATGTAAGCTTTTAGTTTCCGAAGCGTACACGAGAGCTGTAACTGATAAATGAAATTAATTTCTGTAAGGAAATCTTTTCAGATATTTTTGAAGAAAGGACCATAGTTTTGAGTCGGCCTGTCCATACAGAAGGCATTCGGGCCCCAGCCTTCGTGTAGCTCAACCGATATTGGTCAAGATGAACGCCCGACACTACCGCTTGGCACTTTATTGTAGAATCGCACACCCTGACATCGAAAGCACAGAACAGTGAATAAACATGTTCTGTAATCGAAAAGACTTGCTTACTTTTTGTAGTCTCGTGGTTGGTAACACGTGTTTATTTTTATTTCGAGTGTTTATTTTATGAATGTCGCTAAACTTTGTAAATAAATGAATATTTTTCTTTACAGACACAAAAATTTTATATTATTAAATATATTAAGATGCGACTATCATGATACTGATTTCCCCACAACAAAATACCATATGATATTACACTATGAAAATAGCTGAAATACACTAGCTGTTTCTAAATCGATTAATTGTCGAATTTTATAAACCTCGTATGCTGCATAGCTAAGTCTATGCGACACTTCATCAAGCCAACTTTGATATAAATAGATGTTTAAGTCAAATCCTCATCTATGACTGGGTTTCCAAATAAAATATTTTTCTTCTTTTGTAGTCCGGAACAATGATTCTATTAGTTTAGAATAAATTGCAATAAAGAAATCATAGCGTGACTTATTTTTTTTAAATTACGCCATCTATCGAGCAATTGAAACCTTTTGCGTGAAAATCTGGGCGTGCTACTAACACTATCGTCTATTTACACTATTTACAATAGTTTTTGAAGCCACAACACACCAACTTAACATTTTTAAATATATAGATAACTGACACCACATCCACAATTACTGAGTTAAGGCTGTACAGAGCGCAGTGTGCAAATAAAAACGAGCCATCCTTACAAAAGTCGCATATGATGTGTATTAAAAGTGGTATTAGCCATGGAAATTATATACTTTTGAAACATATTCATTTGATGAAATTATTGGTTTCACATGTGATTGTAATTTCTTCATAGACAAAGACAAATAGCATTAAAATCAATCAATTTTTTTTTATCAATGACTATGTTTTTTATTTAGATTTGGACCTTTCACGAGTCTTGCGCTAGCTGTGCAGCACAACTAAGTACAGTAATAAGTATTCGTATTTGTATTAAGTATACGTATTTTCATGTACACCTTCCGCCAGACAGACAGTGCCATCTAGTAAAACGGTTAGGAATTTTTTCAAATATGAATTGGCAACAACATGATTTGTGTTAACTAAATATCAAGTTACATTGGATTTCAGTGAGGTGTGCGCTCACTGAATTCAGTTTTGTAAAATAATGTATTTTATCACTGAATTCAGTACACTCAGCGCTGAGTCTATTACATTATAATAGACTAGACATAAATAATATAAATAATATGTTAAGCATGCTTATGCATTTAATCTTTATAACAATAGAAATTGTTGTACCACTTTTTAAACAAATATGGTACCTACGCGGATGCTTTTCACATTTGGACCCTTACTGTTACTATGCAGAAGAAGTGCAGAAAGCTAAAATTTTTAAACAATATTTACTTAAAGCAGTATTCAGTATTCTTTATTTGCAATTCCACAATTTAAAAAAAGATGGCAGCTTAGCATTATTACAAGCTGTAGGGATCTAGAGTCTGTTTTTTAATCTCGTAGACTAAACTGACATTACGAGTGTTGTCAGTTTATTGCAATTCTTAAATAGTGATGTGGCACAACCGAAACTTAGCGTTAATAAAATCAAGTATCGTTTTTTTACAATAAGTTATCCTGAAATAATGTGTAGGTATTTATTTAAAACGTAATGATACAAAATTAATAATGTAAAACATATATTTTTAATTACATAACTTAATTACAGGTATTCGCGTTAATCTGATTCAGATAATGACTCCACGTGTGAGGAATATTCTGAGTCATTAGAATCGCCACCTACTTCTATGATAAACCTATCAGTAATGTCGTCGGTTATATGGCCCAGATGACACATTTGATCTTCAATTTTAATTACATGGACTACACAGTCTTTCCACCGCCGCGGGGTCACTTGACGAAGCCCTTCTTCAAAAAGGCTTCGTACTTCATTGATTTTGAATGTTTTATTATTTTTAGTGACATGCCCCTTTACTTGAGCCCAGACCTCAATCGTTCGTATTACGTATTCGTACAATTGTTCGTATGGTGTCAAGTTCCATAATTGCCGTATTTTTTAAATTCTGCCGTTTCATAAGAGAAAAGGGTTAAGATTGCCGTTTTAACGCGTACGGGAACAACACTGATGGCGTCTATAATATTTTTTTTTGTTTAATTTAAAGGCATCGAAACATGGTCGGGTTACGCATGGCGTTGCGTGGTCAGATTTCCCTGGCAGTTTGTAGCACGTCGTGCAGCCGTGTGTACGTACGTGAATTTTAAATATAAAACTTTGAATGAAAATTAAATTCGTCTATTATAAATAAAAAGTTACGATTCAACAAACCGGTATCGTAGTTACAACACTGCACAAAAGAGCTGGCAACATTATTTGTAAATTTGACATTTGCATGTGTCAATTTAGTCTACGAGATTAAAAAACAGACTATAGCAGGTACCCATATAATTAAGATCGTCGTCGTCTATACCTACAAAGGCATTTTAAGTTAAAAGGTCAACGAAATAAAATAAACATTGAAATAAGTGGATATTTGACTGGGGGTAAACTAATAATATTAAAACACTTTTTAGTGTCGTCAGCAAATGTATCTTTTATTCATCTTTCTTTTGGCAATCAGAGCCATCAAGCGAACTGCATAAGAGCTATTTCAGATCTAAGCAATACAATGTGTTTAACAAGTTACAGGACTGACTCGAATGAGGGCGCTCCTAGATACTTTAATCCTTAGAATTAGGTATCAAAATGTTTAAACCCCTATTGACTGTATAGATTATTTCTGCATTTTTTTACCAATTAATAATTATACACAGTTTTAAATCAAATCATAGTTAAATATATTTTTTAACCACGCACTTTCACCCGACTTTCAAAATGCAGTTTTACCTAGTCATTCAATATTATTAGTAATACTGCAATATTGTAATCGACTACAGAACCTTAACGCATTTAATTATAAGAAATAATAATATAGGCGTTCAAAAATTTAACCTTTAAGTTTTTTAAATATAAATAATAAATAAATAAATCCCAGTATTATATAATCTTTATTTAAACGATTACTTATATGAATAAATTATAAATATTTAGGTTATGGTTTTAAATGTTTCATTAACAGTTTCAGAAGAACAAGTTTCACTGGATGGTGTGATACCAAACTATAGCAGGACATCAACGTTTTGCTTGCTTTAGCGATTTTATACCTGAAATGAATACTTCAATTTCTTGTATGACTCTGGTTTTCTAGATTTTCGGGACTTTTTCTGGCAGAAAACTGTATTATAGGGAGTTATACCTTTTGTATTATTTTCAAAAATATCGATACACGTGAGCCACGGAGTTAAAAATAAATAGCGATAACAGCCAAATACAGCCGTCATTTACTGGATAGTGACACTACTTTATCATATTATGTAGATAATATGATTTACTGATAGTCAAAGTCCACTGCGGAGCCACTGTTTTTTTTTTGACCGCGTGTTTGTCGCTGATAATCAGTGGTGAATTTACCAGCAGACTGAGTAGGCTGGAGCCTCGGGCGGCAAATGTGGCCTAATTTCTTTTTGTTTTCGTTGAAATACCTAGTTAAAAAAAATAAAAATCCTCCTTTCTAAGGAGAGGCCAGCTATGTCCAGCAGTGGCCTGTTGTAGGCTGTTGATGATGATGAAATAAAAAATTACATTATTAAAGACACGAAAGAAAAAATCTCAATATTAATCAATCTTTCAATCAAAATAACAATATTTTAGTACTATGCAGTGTACCAAATACTTCAACATCTGTATTTAAAATATTACTAAACGCTAGGTGAAATATATTTTTGTGAATATGGATTGTTAAAATATTCCAATAGGACAATTTAAATTAGTGATTTTGACTAACTTTTTTATTAATCATCACTCAGGGCGGCATGAGGCCCTAGGATCGTCTGCGGCAAATTGGGTCCGAGTGAAACTCTTTCTGCCGGGCCCTCTCCGCCGCCTCCTTCTGTCGATACCGGCTATACCGTATCAAGTCCGGCCAAGCCGGGCAACCTGCCCAGGCAGGACTCATTTCACTTCTAGTGACCGAGTGCAGGTACTTCTCGTCGTACAGTGCAGTCGTGCCCGGAAAAGATCTGCTGGTATTGAATTGAGGGCCCGGATGTCTTAATAAGGGCTGTTTCCGGATCCCTCCTGTTTCAAGTACAGAGTAGCACACCGTGTAGTTTTAGTGGTTTCAATTCCGACACACCGCCCAGCCGCAAATCTCACTGGGGCGATGGCTCAAAGGGTTGCTACACGTAAAAAAAGGGGTATTGAATTGTAGATGTTAGTAGGGGCGGCAAAAATTCAATAGCCCACTGGCGGCAAATATGTAACTCCGCCACTGCTGATAATATAGCTTTACATTGGTGAGAGAATCGTTTAAATCTGTTTAGTGCTTTTGGCGCGAAAGTGTAACAAACATATAAATAACTTACTTTCACATTTATAATATAGGTAAGTATGAATTTTATTAGTCGTATATGACATAACATTATATTAATGAATATAGCACATAAAAGCGGACGACTTCGAGAAGAAAAATCGCTACGAGTATCGGATAATTCTTGGCGACGTAAGATTTAAGATTTGTTTAAATGATTCACACCATTCACAAGAGAAAAGAAACGCATAATTATATTGGGAGTACTGAATTATTTATTGAGAAATAAGCAAAGGTTGTACATTAAAATATCTTCAACGTCAATCTTTCAAGCCTGAAACAATAAAAAAGGTAATTAGGAATTTATTGCAACCATAAGCTTAAATTATTATTAAAATGTACTATCAAAGTAATAGACTTTTAGTCGACGAGTTTTACAAGAACTAAAGTTAAAATTCATTGCAATTTTTTTGCTAAATAGTCGCCAAAATGACAGCTGATGTGACAACTGATCGCTTAAAATAAACGTAATTTTCCGATCCTAGTTACTGTGAAAAAAACGCGATTTCACATGCCATATGCAATATGCCAACGTAATAAGTACATATTTCAAATACCATTATAAATTCTATGACAAAACATATAATTTAAGCGTAGATTTGAATACTTTAGTTACTATACCTGCTGCTTAACGTTGACGATAATCTGGACAAGAGGGCCAGCGGGAACAATAGGATTTGGTGCACTTGTTTCACTGCTTGCAACTGGCAAAGCGATGGCCATGGACTCCTGAAAAAAAGAAAGTATTAAACTATGTGTGTGTTTCAAGAAATGAATTGATGTGTCATGCATAAAGATCTCCGACCGGCTCAATCCCTTGGCGTTACGTAGAAATGTAACTTCACTCTTCATTCTCTATCGTATATATCATGGAGAGTGCTCGGAGGAATTGTTCGAAATAATACCGGCCGCAACTTTCCGCCATCATTCCACACGGCAAAAATTTTCATCCCCATAACTTGGATAATTGGCATTCCACCACTGTGTGCTTTTCAAGACACTTTTTGCCTCGCACAACCAATCTGTGGAACAAGTTATCGTCTGCGGTATTTCTGGACGATACGACCTTCAAGCCTTGAAGAAAAGAGCGTACTCCTTCCTCAAAGACCGGTAATGCGCTTATGGCTGACTCTTTTTTTATGTATCTTTATAAATCATGAGCGGCGGTAGTCGCTTTCTATCAGGTGACCCATCTGCACCCGTATGCTCGTTTACCCCCTCTTCCATAAAGAAATACAATTGTTTAGTTTTAAGGTACAATAAATCACTTATGCTTTCTGCGATCGAACAAATGACGTATATTATTGAACCAATTACAGTCCACAATAACGCCTGCTTCATATAATGTATTACATCTTATCGCGTATTGCCCTGACATCACTAAGCGTGTTAACTTAACGACGAGTGCAAACCATACAACACTCGATTCTACATTGCCAAGCTGACACACACCCCCACACACTTGCCACTGCACCTAGAGATAGTAGTATATTTATGAAATATCTTTGCAATTGGTTAAATACTCAGATTTCTTATTAGGAAATCCAGGGTACACTCCAGAGTTATGTTGATACGTTACATACGAACAGCTTTATTAAGAAATAGACTTACTAATTTAATTACTGTTTGTTGACATACTGCATGTGATACTCCAATTCATGTGACTCCAATCGCCACCGTTTTATTTTTTATTTTAGGTTATTATTGCTCTTACCATCTGTTCACCAGCATACAAGATGTCCATAAACTTGTCCAAGGCATTATCCAGATAAGGTTGATACTCTGCGCTGGTAGAGGGGTCTTGGGTAGCTTCAGACAGCTCGTTCAGTGAGTAATGGTAAATTTCCATTGCAGGTAACACTACGTTAGCCACTGCCTAAAAGAAAAAAATGTTATTAAGTAGTGTCTGACAAAAAGTCGCTATTGACATTTCCTTGTATATCGTTTTTTTTTATGTAAGAGGGGGCAAACGAGTAGACAGGTCACCTGATGGAAAGTGACTACCGCCGCTCATGAACGCCTTCGAAGCAGGAGTCACAAGCACGCATAGTGTGTATTTATATAGTTTATATAGTGTATATTTTTATATTGTATCTATAAAAAATGCTACCAACCTTAGAATGTGCAAAAAGAATTATGAGGTTATTTAATTAGTTATTCAAAAAAAAAGTACATGTAATGAAACTACAGAAAGCAAATTATCAAACATTTAAAAAAGTTACATACTGTTAGTCATTAAATAGTAAGTAAATATTTAAAAACAAAACCGGAAGAGTGCAAGTCGGACTCGCCCACCGAGAGTTCCGTACACATTTCTAGGTACATATTATAAATAGTTCAGGAATCGAGTCTCGGAATTTTTTCGAGCTTTTCCCAGAAGTTTCGTTTCCAAAACTTATACTTACTTATATTATTGTGTTTTATAAGTGAAATTTGTACCTCAATGGTTGATTACGTCCTTTAAATAAAATTCAAAATTACATTAATTCATCGAATAAATCGTAAAGAATGATATTAATGATAGTAAATTTTAATAACAAACTTCGGGTTTGCCGGAATATAAATCTTGCATAATCTTGTCCAGAGTGGCTTCATAGTAAGGCCGGAGAGCTTCATCTTTGTAGGGGCTCTGGAGAATTTCCGACAGCTGATTAAGGGTCATGCTGACGCTGCTTGAAGCAGGAATTTCCACGGTCACATACTCCTGTAAGATAATAAATTTTTCTAGAGAAAATTTTAGATTTATCCAGTTCCAGTAGAAATTTCTTCATGGAATCGACGTTGTAAAAGTTTTTGTTTATGGCAAAAGTGGCAAACGAGCAGACGGGTTTGATGGTAAATGACTACCGCCGCCCATGGACTATCTTTTAAGGCCCCTACCCACATAATCGGGGGAGCAGAGGTTTGGGTGTGAAGAAACGAAAGAATTGATTAACACCGGTTTTCTGTGAGGCCTTACCGGCCCATTTGTGTTCAAACATGGCTCTTCCACAGTTAGTTAAAACTGCTGTTTCTATGTTAGATTTAACTAACAACAAACATAATTTTAACCAACAGTTATTATTATGACATATACAGGGTTAAGTCGACCTAGATGCTTTAAGGGTTTATACTAGCCATCGTTTCTGATAGATTTCATTATGAAATACCATATGCCAATCCTGACCATTTCAGGATAGTTCATCAATCTAACCTTTTATAAAAAAAACCGGCATTTTGGCTTAATACAATTTTTTAGGACTTATATTCTTAACTTTTTCTTCTTTTTACTGTTTTATGGAATTATAAAAAAAGAAAACCATTACGATAATTACAAACCTAAGTAAAAAAACTATAATGAGTACCCTCAACATAACAGGTAACATTATAATACCAATAGTCCCTTCTAATTTGTTTCCAGTCGGTGACAAGCCAAATAGGTGCTTGGTAGGCTGCGTAGCGGGAGAGGGCCGATCCCGAACGTAGAGGACGTCGGCGCCGATATCAGGCGTCGACGGGGCCGCGGGCCGCCAGAGAGTCGGGACCTCTGGTGGCAGATTGATTGCTGCGGTAGGGAATGGAATGGCAGGCCTGATTGCATTAAGATGCGATCGGGCCGCCATGCCGCGATTGAAGGGGGAAGTGTTCTCCCCTGGGATAGGGCCTGATTAGGCATGGTGTCAATTTGGGGAGGACCTGAAATAACATAGTCCGGGTCCTCCCCAGCGTAGGAAAATATATTGTTGTCCAAATTACCCAAAAATATATTATTTTCCAAAACTAGAAGTGGTATTTTTCTTCACATTTGAATGAAACTAAAGGGGAAATATACTCTTCCAATAAAAAATAATAATCTGTTTACAAATGAAAGAGTTTTGAGGTAACAAACATTAAAATAATTTCGTAACAAACATTTTTTTTGTCGAAATGTTTGATAATCTCATTTATTACTCTCTAGTGCACATATCCCTGAAACCCCACACAAACATCTAACAAATATCTTGAAAGAATAAAACAAGGTCAATACACGATTAGATTTCTTAAATAGTTAGTTTCTAACTCCTAAAGGTCAAGAATCCTTCCATCATCAGCTTAGCAAAATGACATAACGACTACTAAACGCAAATACCTACAAAGCTAGAGAAATAAGCTAAAACACGTTGTCGGGCCTGTAAAATTTGCGGGGTTTCCCTCGATTTCTCTAGGATCCCATGATCAGATCCTGATTTAGTGGTAATGGGACGACCCCGGGTGCATACTATTTCGATTACAAAACGAATTCTAAAAATCGGTTCACAATTCACAGAGATTTCACGTAACAAACATACAAATGAAAACAAAAGACATACAGACAAATTGATAACATCCTCTTTTGTGTTTTTGAAGTCGGTTAAAAATTGTTCAAATAAACAACAACTCACAATTTGATTTCCATTATAAAGATTCTCCACCATGTGGTCCAAGGCTTCAGTCAAATATAACTTTAATGTAGGGTCTGTGTATGGGTCGTCTATGTGTTTTGACAGGTCCTGCAACGTCCAGGTTTTGCCAGCGCAGGCCACCGCAATCAAAGCCGCAAATACAGCAAAGAATTTCATCTTAAAAGATTTTATTGCGTTTTCTGCAAAAAAACAAACGTTCCCTAAGTTATATTTATTCTGCGATTCTCCAAATCTTCTAATGATAAAATCGTAATGGCTCCTGTGTTTCATAACTCCTTTAACTGGACTCATGTAGCCCTCTCAAAGATTTCACGTCCTCAAACTCTCGAAGACGTAAACAATTTTTATTCATTATCATCATTATCAACGTATTGCCGTCCACTCCTACACAAGGCCTCCCCAAGGATCGCCAACTACCCCGTTTTACTATTAAATGATTTAATTATATGTTACATTTTCATTACCTACCTACTACACGACCTAAACTATACGATCGATCAAAATAAAATTTTGAAAACAATCATTATTAATTAGTATAGAAAAGAACCAATGTGTTTCAGAGGTATTATGGTATTAATTAATAAAATCTACATTAACATGAGAAAAGTCGCTGACGAAACTAGTAGTGTTGCAAATCATATTTCGTAAAAAAAACTTGGTTGATGAAAATTCTACAATATACAATATACTCGTACTTACTTGTCACTTCGAAAATTTATTGACAATACGGTACTTCGGTATATATACCAAGTTTAATCAAAAGTGCAATAAATGATATTACCTTTTTTATTATTAAAGATAATATTTATTTATTGAAGATGTACTAATGGGACTTACCCCTCCCACACGGCCACCACTGTAACTCTTGTACACCAGGATCAACAGTAGTGACCCATAAACACTCCGAGTTATAACACTCGGTAAGTCCCAGCAAAAAATTAAACTGTCTTGGAACCCGCAACGAAATTAATCAGAAGAAAATTGGAGGAGTTGGAAAAACAATAAATCCACTTACCTCCTTAGCAAAGCGGATACAAACTGAAGTAAAATAGGCATACACCCTTTTAAACAGGGAAGCATCACCATCAGAAAGTTATATTTGGTTTCCATAATATGTATAGCAGAATCGTATAAACGCATGGAAATTCACCCTAGTTGACACAAGATCCCGTAGAATACCGCCCGTAAGCTATTTAGTATTATATTACGTTCATTATATCAAAGCCTACATTCCCAGAGGATATGATGAGCAGTCTGTGCATAGTTAGAGTAAGATGCTGAGCATTGACACAATGGTGACTCGACTAATTTAAATGAATACAGTTTGCTCTTAAAGTTACCATGACCTGTAAGAAATTGAGCGTCACAGTGATCCACCTTAAGTCATTTCCTCAAAATCGTTCGCAAACAGATGGAAAGAACTGGTAAAGGTGGCGCCCCTTAGATGATTCGTCCCAACGTAGATGAAATTCATCGATGAGGTCATTATAGACATCGGACTGCTGTTGAAGCAATCTTGTAATTTCGTTCAAAAAATCGTATTCCATGTTTTGTTGTGTTGAATAGTACATGGCTGCTTGTTTCTGCACCTCGAGATCGACCGGAAGCACACCCGCCAACACCGCCAAAGCCTCAGTGCTAACCGTCCTATATGCCTTGCACAAGAATATCAGCGCAAGTCGTTGGCCTTGTAACAGTTTGCGATGGACAGCGCCTACGGTTGGCCTATCGGCGCATACAGGTGCACCATAGCACATAGAACCTAAATAAGTAGCTCCGTAAATGATCTTTAGTGTACTAAATAATATTTCATTAACCAGTACAACTTAAACTGTCATTATACTTATAACATATTGGATGCTTGTAGGGAAGATTAACGTAGTCGTTTTTACGAGTTCTTTTTAACTGTAACATACAGTATTTATTACAATTTTCACAACTAGCATTTTATTGTACATAAACACAAAGTATCGTAAATTTCAATATTCATACATTTTTTGTTTAGTGAAAGTTTCTTAGAAATGTGTTTATTTGTAATGAAGAAAGGCACATTACAAAAATTATCTCCATTAATATCAGCAGCTCCACTCCTGGTATTAATGAGTCTTGTCTAGGATACAACATTGTGAGTCACATTAATTTGATGGTATACCTTCCTCCAATTTGCCTGCACGGATGGCGTAGTGGTTTAATCTGTCGCCACGCCGCTTCCTACCACGACGAGTGTTTTATCTTTGTCGAGCCCCAGTAAAGTTGTGTTTTAAAAAAAAAAACAAAAAAAAATTAGAACCACTCGACACTATTAGCTTACATCCACTTTAGAGACGATCGATAGAACTAGTTTTAAGAAAGATATGTCAGACAGAGACATAATAACGCTACAACAAGCAGTAAAAATAATGATCTAATAACTTATTGTCTCTGTTTCAGTTAAATATGAAACCATAGATGCATATAACTTAATGAAAAAATTCTTTAGCAGTACAGCTTAATACGCGTATAAAATACGTCATTGTATATTATCTACGTGATACCACTATGATGTATTCATGACATCCATATCAAATGTTATGACTGAGCAGAACATGTACATAGATAACTAATCCCGCTAAAACCCAGCTTAGCTAGGTCCAAATTGGGTGCCTTTTTATATCTCTCGTATTCAATGATAATTCCTGTCCGGTTTATGATCTTGTTGCAGGATATCAGTAATGTGTAAAAATAGTCCAATATGAAGACATATTGGACTATTTTTGGACACACTGTAATGTTTTTGATTTGACTTGTTTGTTTCGAAAAATTCCTTTTAGATACATATGACTAGCATTTGCCCGTGGCTCTTGAAAGTAGCCTATGTTACTCGCTGATAATGTTGCTTTCAATTGGTGAAAGAATTTTTCAAACGGTTTGGTGGTTTGGTCGTGATATCGTAACAAACAAACACACAAACTCGATAAAGATAATATTGATGCGTAGCTCATCTAGGAAAAGTCGCGATACCTTAGGCGATAGGCATATGGTATTTTATAAATTAAGAAGTGATTTATAAGCAATATTAAGAATAGCATAGTAATCCGAACAACCGAAAGTAATTTTATTGTTATGACAATTTTATAAAGATAAACATTGCCGTTTATTGCATGTTTTTTGCACGCACGGTTTACAGATACTGGATAAACACTCGGAAAACTACTATGTAAACAAAGTAAAAATACTTTTAAATATTAGATAAGTAATGAGAGGCCTATGTCCAGCAGTGGACTATTATAGGCTGTTGATTGATGATGACTAGATGAGAAACTCAGAGCTTAATAGCGATTGAGTTGCACCTACCACCTGTGTAGGACACCTAAAGTAATGTTTCTTAGAAATAATATCATAAACCCTATAATTATGGCTAGGCCAACGTTTAGGCTTATTTTTCTTTTCTAAATGCATGTGTAATAGATTAGAAGAAGATTAGAATTGTTTGTCCTTTACCCTAGTTACTAACCTAGTTATAAAAGAACACAATTTCCTGAAAGGTTACTGTTTGCAGTCACAAAAAAGCGTAGGAATAGACCTAGAGCATGTTGTTAAGGACACACAGAAATAGTGTGGTAATCCTGTGTTATTTTAGCCGAAACAGGGTGCGCTGACAACCAATACATTGGAAAACTTGCCTAAAATATGTTTTATACTGAAGTATTGTTAACTACTAATCAGTAATTTCTTTTAATTTAAACATATAATACAGTGGAGACTCGATTAACCGGAGTAATTATATGAAAAGTGTTTTTTACATGTTATTAAGTTTAGAAAGATAATCTGCCACATTCCGCTACACGGGTTTATCAATAAAATATAAACAAATTAAATTTATCAAGCCAGAATTCATGTTTGTTAAGATATTAGTAGGTCGAAAACATTCGTTCTAATGCACCTAAAACATTTTTTTTAATAATAATAACTATATCATAAACTTATTGATAATTGCTACATTGACTATAATAACCACACTAGGCGCAGCCTGTGTCTAGGATTAGCGTCTAGGACTTAAACTATCGAAACATAATTCAAAATTTTAATAAAATAATTAATAGATAGCTGCATATAAGTGTGTGAGTATGTGTGTGCGTGAGTGTGTGTGTGTGTGTATATATATGTGTGATTATATGTACTCATATATTTCTAAATACATACATATATTACAAATAAATTACGCACAGACACCGGAACAAATGATCGTCCTCATCACACAAATATTTACCGTGGGTGAGAATCAAACCTTTTTTTAGGATGCACGAGCCAGGAGTATGTGGTGTTTCCACTAAAAACCATTCCGACGGCTGGCCTCAGGCGCCCTACTCTGGGGAGGACCCGGACCAAGTGATTTCAGGTCTCTGCCACCAGTGGTTCCCATTCTCTGACAGCCTGCGGCTAATATCGCCGCCGACGTCCTCTACGCTCGGGATCGGCCCTCTCCCGATCCCGTTTAGCGGTCACTTTCTGGAGCATTACAGCTTCACAGAAAGAGACCATTGCGCCCCAACCCTCCTTACCCAAAAATAAAATTTAAAAAAAAGAAAGAAATAAATTATTAAAGAATAAAATATAAAATTATAAAAAAAGAACTAAATGAATTTTTAAAATAAATAAATAACTTATTAAAAAAATAAAATTATAATAAAAAGAAATAATTTATTAAAATAAAAAAATAAATATAAATAACTTATTTAAATAAATTAGTCATTTCCTTATAGTTTTATAATATATTATCTACGTTTTTTGAGGAAATGATTTTTTATTTTTTATTTTAATAATTTTTTTTAATTTTTTATTTTTTTATTTTTTTTTAAATAAGTTATTTTAATATATTTATTTCTTTTAATAATTTATTATAATAGAAACAAATAAATAATTTCCTCAAAAAACGTAATATATTTTCAGCTACCGATATTTATACCGATGCCAATGGCTACTCGATGGCATCTCAATAGCGTGTCAGTGGTATGACACTGGCTTGGCGTAAACATAAAATAGCAGAATTGAGGCCCTGGTCTTGCCCGCCTTCACCCGACGAAATGGTACGGTAACCTCGTCCGATCCTAATGGCCGCTACCCGCTGCGCTTGATTGAGCTTAGCTCGGCTCGGGAGGAGGGGATAGGCGTTTGGCCACCATCGGCGCTCCGAAGAGGGCCATGGATCGTATCCCCGCGGGAGGAAGTTCGCCGCCTCTACTGTGCGAGAGGCGGCGAACTTACTCCCGCGGGGTGAAAATTAAACCTAATAATACCTTGTCCTGTACCTGTCTGGTGACGTATTCAAAATACGATACGGATAAGATAACACCCTTATTCATTCCGTGGGTATTGTAAGAGCCGACTTAGGGAGCAAACTCTGCAGTATAACAGCACTGCAAAGAGAGGAAAACTTGAAACAAACCCTATACTAACGGTGGTAATACAAAGTGGTATAGTAGGTCAAAATCTTCTTTCCAAGTCTTTCTTTCTTTTATTTTGCCTGTACATACAACTTTTTTAAGCAACTGAGGGGCGAGAAATTAAATGTTCTTTTATTTTAGTTATAAAGTTTATTTTCTTAACTTTATTATTTAAGAAATAGAAATAATAGTTATATTTAACATAAAAGCATTTATTAAGGTTTGGACAATCATTTTGTTTGCATATTTTTAACATAACGTCAGGAATTACCAGACTTCAACAACAACAGACTACAACAGACTAGCAACAAAATTAATCGTCCCGAAAAGTTCGAACAGTGTTGTCCATTGAACCCGGACCTGAAAATACCTGACACAAACAACTTACCTATTATATAATGTTTTTATCTCAAATATCATTAAATTTATTTTGCTAGTTACTGATATATTTTATCGTTTTAAATTATAATAACAAATAAAACAATGAATTTAGATCTATATCTAACCGCTACTAACTACACATAAAGAAATATCGATAACCACATTATATAAGATTACGTCACTTTCAAAACTAATCTTTACCTTTATACATAACGCGCCAAATTTTATGCGAATAATACAATTTGATGGTATTTGTTGTGAGTTTGTTTGAGATGAATTGACAAATGGCAAAGTGTGTGTCGGTCCAGGCATATTAGTAATAATAATATATCTCACACACGGCCATCTGTTCCCAAACTAGGCAGAGCCTGTGTTCTGTTAACCACATAAACATACATATATATATGTACATATTTTAAATAATAGGTGCACCTACCGACTATTACTTTTTCCAAACTTTAGACAACTTTTTAGTGGGTAAAAAATTCAATTCCCGAGAGGCAGTACAAAATGCCTTTGAAGAGTTTGTTGCCTCCCGTCCAGCGGATTTTTACAAGAAGCCCTTCTTGTAAAAATCAAAAAACTGCCAATGCGTTGGCAAAGATGCGTCGATTGCATGGGTGATTACTTCGAATAACAGAAATAAAAAATAAGTACTTTCACTTATTGCATACAAAACGGCAATTTCATAGGTAAAGACCTAATACATATATATTATATATAAATTACACCCCGACTCAGAACAAATGATCGAGCTCATCACACTGTGATTTTAATCAGGACAAGAATGCTATGTTAAGGATAAATCCGAAGTACATTTTTTGTAAAACTTTGACCAAAGGGCGCTGCAGTCTCGCTCGAACCCTGATAACAGGATAGAACGGGTGCTGCATCCAACGGCAGCACTTATCAAGTGACGACCGTACAGAATAAACAATATTAGTATAGATTATTTACTAACATAATTATTCTACAGAGTGATTGTTTAAACGCTCTCATCTCTGGAGCTATCAGTCAGTTTTTTTTGGATTTGATGAAGTATTCATTGAGAATTACTCGTTTTATTCATTATTATTATTATTTAATTAATTCGTTACAATTTTATATTAGGAATAGAGAAGTAGCCATTAATACCGATGAAATATTTGGTGACAGCTAGTCTAACAGCGGTATTCACAAACAATACTATTTGAATTTTCGATGAGCCCGGACTCAAACAGTTTATCAGTAATTCAATAATGAAGGCTTTTATTATATTTTCTAACATAGTCTTCTCTCTTTTCATTAATATTTTCTTCTTTTTTCAAAGTCATTCAGTAAATGATCATGTAGATACAATATTCCTACTATACGGATTGTTCGCATAACAAAAGATAACTTGAGTATCGTTTGTAAATGCGAGAATGTCTGATGACCGTTTTTGGGACATATTTGATAAATTAAGACTACTTAATATATTTTGGAATACTTATAGAGTAATGCATTTTAAACACAATGTGAAAATCATGTGAAAAAAGGGGATGTTCAGCATAATCAACTGACATTTTGTTTTTTGAAATCGATGAATTTCGAAGAACAAGAATTGCTGTACGCTGTACCTTAGAGCAATTTTCAAGTTATATTCTCCTTACTTCCTTGTACTTAGGTACTCTTGGCGGAACACGTTGCATTGTTCAAAATTAAATATCAATCAATTCTTAGTGTCAAAGACTTATTAATAAAAATTATATTCTAATTTCATTTTTTTGAGCAGTAATATGTAACAAATGCTATATTGTGACATGTCAAGGACTCATATTGTCTTATTAAATATAATGGAAAATAAAGTAAAACTTCAAACATCACTACAGAATTGGTTCGCCTTGATAATGGAACACCATAGGGGAGCATTGTTATTTTGTTAATTTTATAATTCATAGCAGTAGGACGTAATACCAGTAGATACCAATACCAGTGCCTAATACCTCCATGAAACCCTACTAGGCTTTCGGGTAAGTGTTACGCACAGATTCAATATAATACTAACTAGGTATTCTTTACAAAAATAGGCGATATCTTTAAAATACTAATGACCAATACTAAAGGTAAATAGTGTAGGATGACATATTATTGCTATAAACATAATCATAGGTACAAGCTTGAATTGTTTAGAATCGTGGGATTTAAATTAGGTTGCTTTTAGTTCAGATAAATTATTTAATAGACATCGTAAAATTAAGTTGTGAATAACGCTTTGAAAAGTTACATTCGTAAAACTTTCAAAGTTTGTTATTATTTTAAGAACGTTTTTTAAAGAACGTACCGGTTTGATATTCAAACAATATTAATTAACAGTTAATTTTATGGAGATCACTTGCAATAATGTCGACTGCACGGATGGCGTAGTGGTTTAAGCGGTCGCCACGCCGCTTCCTACTGCGCCGAGTGTTGTGGGTTCAACCCCACATGGAACGACACTTTGTGTGATCCACAAATTGTTGTTCTGAGTGTCCGTTCTTTGTGTCCGTTTCATGTATGTTGGTAAAGTCCCCCGCGACACAGGATATATTCCTAATGCAGGAGTTGTCTTTTTTTAAATAAAATAAAAAATAGTCTTTTTTTTTCACGGTCTTCGTATAGGCCATCCTTTTGGGTGTAATGTTTTAAACTTGGTAGTGGTGGTGGTGGCCCTAAGCCGTCTTCGAGTCGTTTTTCTTTTGTAGTCAAACTTTTGCTTGTGACGGATGAGACCCATAGGAGTTAGAATTACAATGCTCTCCTGTAACAATAATGTTACAATATTTTATGGTCTAGGCAATCATAAATATTTCATGTCCAGTTAAACTTGTGATAAATGGCTGCGGATTCGAACCCCATTTAGTTTACTACCGACGTAAATCTGTTTTTTTTTTTTGGTGCTTAGGAAAACTTCTTGTGAGCCACTGGGGTTTTCAGTTCATTTACTCACTAACCTAGTCAGTTAAATAATGTAATTTTAAAATCAGGGTAATGTTAATATTATTAATGGTTTATTCTGAACGAGGTACTTTTAACAACGTAATTACAAAAACATCTAATAATTTATAAAATACTAACGTTTCGAAATCCCTTATTAACATACTCCATTAGAACATGGAAAGCATCTTCTAAACGAGGTTTAAGTGCTGGATGTGTCCTCGGATCCCTTAAACCATTTTTCAGGTCGTCAATATTCCACTTAGAAATATCTAAACCTGGTTCAGACACTTCAATATCGTACTGAAAATAATTAGCTATTTCAGTTTAAGCCCACCTGTTTTATTATTTGTTAAGTAAATAATAAAACAGGATGGGCTTAAACTGTGCGTTATGTGTATCTGGTAATAGAAGAAATAACTTCTAATTTCATATCCAACATACGTCATCATCATCATCATCAGCAACCTTTACTAGTCCACTGCTGGACATAGGCCTTTCCTTAAAAGAAGGTTTTGGCCTACTACACCACGCTGGCCAGACGGGTTGGTATAGAGTTTGTGTCAAGTTTTCCTTCTCTCTGCAGTGCTGTTGTCGTGCGTAGTTTGCTCCCTTAGTCGCCTTTACACTTTTGACACTCCGTATTCATAATCCGTCACCACACGGCAAACATACACACATACGTCAATTAACAAGAACTGTTGATCGAAGCCAACATACGAGTAATATTTCTACAAAAATTAACGAAAGAAAAAGACTATAATGAAAGCAGTTATGAAATTGTGTACCTTTGGCGCCTCATAGCCGCCAAAGTCAGCGTTTCTGCCTCTATAGGGCACACAAACTGGAAAACTTTCAGCTTTTATAAAGTGAAGAAGATTCGACTCTAGGCTTTGGGATTTAAGACCGCTGATCACTGACGATGACCGATATCTTGCATCAAATTTGAAATTATATTTAGAAAAACTATTTCAGTTTTATTTAAATTCACTCTTTATGTGTAAGCTGTTACATACACGTTCCGTCGTTGCATCAACTTAACGTATACACCTTACAATACAAACCGCGTAAATGGACCAGGCAAATTACGTTTTCCATTTGTTCACTTCCTTTCTAAAAATTATCTACCTAACCTTTTCGCCATTAGCACTTTACCTTCAACATCGTGCCACAACACCTCCAAAAAAACTGAATAAATTTAATATTTTATAGTCCTGAACCTGTTTCTGTCCTTCTTGCCTCCTGCTAAGCAGCATTCTGTACGCAATAGTAATAGCGTGTTCTTTCGCAAAGTCTCGGGCTTCTTCACTTGTCTTGATATTGTCAAAATTATCAAAATATTCCAGCGGTTTAGGATTTTGAGCTTGTAACTCTTCTTGAGTCCATTTAGACCGACCAGAAGGCGAAGGGATGACAATTTGTGCAGTGTTCTAAAACATAAATGAACAAATAAATGAGAACCGTATAACTGGGATATATGTCTCTCATCAAAAATACGTAGAAAATGCATATAAAATAGATCTCTGCATATAGTATATAATATATACCTTCTTATATCGCTAATCGCCAAATACCACTCTTTTTTTTTTATTTACACTTAATGCACAAATGTGACAAAGGCGGACCTAATGCCGTAGGCATTTTCTCCCAGTCAACCTTAAGGCGATCCAAAGCTAAAACATGGTAGATGCACAAAAGAAATTAAAAATGTGATTTCATAAAAATATAGCATATACATAACATTACATATATATTAATTACTATAACATATTAATTACATTAGAATTTTTTTTTATAAATTATACATATACAATAAGATATACCCTACAAAGTACAGCCTGGTACCCCGACTTATAGATGACCCTCTTCTGTGTGGGAACCCCGATTTTCCCTTCTTGCCCCCGGAGGGCGTGTGTAACGCGGTGCGCCGCCACTCTCCTCGACCTGCTTCTGCTAGTGAGACAGATGCGCTTATAGAGAACGGAGGTCATTCTGCGACCTCCGGCGGCGGCGTCGTCTGCGGTACCTGTGCCGTTCCTGGACCTTGCGGACCCGGAGAGTTCTAAACCTCTCTCGGTTCCGCTCCGCCATCTCTTTCGCAAGCATAACTTGCTCGTAGGAGGCGACGGTGGAGTTCCGCGCGCTTTCGCTCCGTACCATGGCCGCAATCACGTTACCGAGCGAGAAAATTCCCACTCCGATGGCCCCACGAGGTCACGCCTCTGCTCCACCCACGCCGGGCATTCTGCAAGCGTGTGGAGCGCCCTGTCCACGGTCCACCCATAGCTGTGATGACACTCAGACCTTGGCTCCTTGCGGACCAGAAACAGGTGATCTCCGAAGTATCCCTTGCATCAGCCGGTATGAAAGAGTGTTGTGTTCACCGTGTTACTTATCTAGCCAATCCCCCATGCCAAATACCACTGGATTTTCGACAATATTTGTTTCTGCATTAACAAATAAGTTTTGACAATCACTTCTTAAATGAAAAGAAGAATTTATACTGGGGTTTTGATTTCCACTTTATTATGGGTATTTTTGATTTTTTTAAGTCTGTAAGGACACATTAAAGATATTACGGGATCGCTATCAAAATCATAAATATGCGACAACTCGAGAGAACTAAAATTAGCATACGTGTTCAAGGACATGCGACACTTTCTTTCTAATCAATATTGCTAGCATTTAGCATGTAACCCAAACGGGTAGAAAAGAAAAAAGAAATGAAGGAGCTAACAATAGTATAATGTTAGTATAAAATCCAAATTTAAAATTAATTCGCATACAATAATCTCCTACAAATAAGGGAGTAGGTGTATGGCAATATTAATGTACCTTATGTTATGTATATCTATTTAAATTAGTTGGAGAGTAAAAACATGTACACAAACTAAAAATAGATACAACAGATAAAATTAATTTTATTACATTCGAATTATCCTCTCCATAAGCCACCGCCATTTCATATTTAGCGTCTTCAAGGTACTCTAACTCTTCTTCAGTTTTTCTCTCTGAGTTATTTCCAGTTGCGAATGCTAATTCCGGGAAAGTCCAAGTCCTCACCACAGGGTCACTAGTTGCCGTTGCTAAGAATATTAGCACGATTTTCAATGTCTTCATCGGTCTGTGAACATGAAGAAAAATGTCTTACACAATTAAATAATAATATTATTACTTCACACCAATAAAGAAAAGCCTAATAAATAAATGCGAGACAAGCTTAAAAAATGATGCATTTATTCAAATTAGGGCCCAGAGTACAAAATATTAGGGGAATAGCAGGATATTGGCGAATTGTACTAAAAAATTTAAACTCGTTCTTTTCTATGTAACATATTTATCAAATCAAAATATTAACCCTCATTATCTATACATTGCTGCCATTTAAACGGAAATTCATTTATGCCTTTACCATAGAACTCTGGGGATCTAGAGTCGCCAACCGTGTGGAAGCATTTTGTACTGCCTCCCGGGAAGAATTGTTTTTATTACGTACAAAATTGTCCAAATCACGAAATAATGGTATTCCGTTGGAGCAAGGTCTGCCGAGTACGGAAGATGACGTATGGTTTTTAACTGCAGCTCCTGTAAAGTTATAACGGTTTCCCGTGCAGTGTGAGCTCTTGCATTATCATGTAGCAATAATGGTGAAGATCGATTCACAAGTCGGGGCTGTTTCACTGCCAGTCTCGCATACACTGTCCGAAATATGGCACAGTCAACATCTGCTGTTATTGTCTGATCAGACCAGAGAAAGCTCTAGTGAGACCACCAAACAGATACCATTAGCTTTTATTTTTAAGCTTTGCTTTAGGGCACTGTTGCGGCGATTGACCTGGGGTCAGCCATAGCATTTTTCGCTTACGGTTATCGTAAACAATACACTTTCAATATTCCAATATTCCTTCATTTCTGTACCTATTCAACAAGGCAACACAAGTTTCAACACGCATTTCTTTCTGCAGATCAGTCAAATCATGAGGCACCCATTTTTTCATTTTTGTTTTTTATCTATTTGATTTGAAAATGAGTCAATATTATAGGTAGGGAAAGTTAAACTATGGCGCTCATTCCTGGATATTTTGTCTCGGATCAGCTTCCACCATCTCCTACAATTCAGCGTTTTTCACCTGTGTAGGCGGTCTTCCGCGTGGTTCGTTCGTTCGTTCGTTTTCATTGCAAAAGCGTTAAAATTAAAAACGCACGGTGCGTTCATTAGGAGTTTCCTTTCCAAAGTCCTTTAAAAGGTGAAAATCGAATGTTGCACAGTTTTTAAAAGAAGAAACTCATAGGTATCATGTAAAAAAACTTTTACACTATCACACCATGAAGGTTTTATGCGAATTCCTTGACATAAAACCTTATTGGTGTGAAGGGGCTGGATAGGCTAAAAGCCTAGAAATACTTGTAGTCCTTTAGGCTATGCCTATTCAAGACTCTTGGTTTTAGGTCCAAATTCTTGCAAAGGCCTAAGCTTTTTACACGCTTTATATTAGCTTCACTTGTATGTTTGTTTGTATGTTTGTAACCATTTGAATTCGTTCAAACTTTGTAGATATATCGAGGGCCGATGACAATACACACTAATAAAAAATAAAAAAATATAGCCCTGGGCATTAAGTCCGCCGATGTACAAAAGTGCATAAAGATAAATAAATAAATAAAAAACACGCTTTCTATAGAATACCAAACTAAAAAATAGAAAATAAATTTGAAAAAAAGCGTGGGGTGCTTTTTAATATTGACAACAGGTTTAATGCTAGTCTAACAACAGTAAAGCTTATTAACCCTCTGAAAGGGTTATGAAGACTATGCAGCTTTAGTCCTCGAGGCTATAGCTATTTAAGTAACTATGACTTACTTTTTACTTTGTTCGATGCCTCTTATTTACTTTTCAGTGGATGCTCCTTCCGTTGCTCTTTAATGATTTTGAAATGGATCCATTTTTTATGAGTTTAATTTGAAACAGTAACAAAAAAAGATTTTTCTTTTTTTCTTTTTCATCTGTCGAGTCTTTTAAAGCCCTTTTTTATTAGCATAGCTCTAAAAAAGGACCAATAATAACCAACCAACCACCAAAATACGAATATTATTATAAAATATACCAATATAGGACCAATATTATAATTCTTAGGTAAGTATTATGAAAGTCCGACTCTTGAAAATCGAAATTATTATAAAATATTTCGGCGGATTTGGGTGTAAGTAAATTAACAATTAAAATTTACCAGAAAGGGTTACCAGAGCAAAAATAAAATATTGATGTTCTTTTTATTATGTTCTTTTTATTATTTATTTTTATTACGTCTATGCGTAAACTAGATTAAAGACTGATTTTTAAGTTCCACTGTTGCACGACTTATTTATCCACTTTGTTTTTGAAAACACAAAAAGACTGACACAAAGTTTTGAAAATTAAAGATCATAAAGCATGCTAGCTGTGTTTTTTTTATTAGCAAATTATTAGCAAACCACCGCTAGGTGGTTTGCTAATAATTTAGCTGCGGTGTAAAGAAATATTTTTTATTAACGTTAAAAAATAATTATTACTGTATGTATTAATTATTTTTTAACGTGAATAAAAATTAACCACACATTGAAACAAACTATTATTTATGATATGATGTAAGTAAATAAGATTGAAATCTGTTGTCGGCTTAGAAAAGTATTAAGTTTTCGTACACATAGATGATAATATATATTTTTTTAAATAGGCTCTTAATAACTATCTTTAGAACGTTATGTCAAACAATAATCTTATCATTGTAATATATGTGATAGGCTTATTTATTCGTATAAATTAGGATTAAATCACGGTAATATTTGTTATCAAAATGATGCCGAATACTTTGTTCAAAAAAAAAACAATCGGAACCGATCAAAATAACTGTTTTTACTGATAAAGTAAGTGCTTAAATTGATAAATCTAATACAATAAGAGCATAATTACTTCAGATATTACTATGGCACGGCTCGATTAAATATTTCTATTTGCCAAGTTTTCTAAAATTAGTTTCCTTAAATACCTTTAAAAATGGTACAAGATGTTTAAGTATATATTATAATCACGGATCCCAACCACATTTTAGGGTGCAACACACCTTTAATCAGTCCGGCGTCAAATAGAATTTAATTAAGTATATTTCTTGAGAAATAAATTACTATCTTCTAAAATCACCTGCTGTAATGGGGGCTCGTTAGGCTCTGCTCATTTTCACCACGTCATACCATGAAAAAAAGTGAATTATTACAATTTAATAAGAAAATGTTAATAGGTTAACAAGAATCAGTAAAGTTAGTGGAAAAGAAACAAAGCATGTGAAGTCTCGTACTTGGTGTACACGTCTTTGTAGCGTAGGTGATACTGAGGATGCACACGACGAAGATCTTTGTTTTGACGCATTGCAGTAAGGGTGATTAAAAAACTGAAGTAAAATGCTTTCCTTAAAAGATAAGATAAATTTTGGTTACTCAATATTTTGATCGGTATACTCGTACACCGACATCCTCACGTCTTCAAATGTACCCGCTTCATCCCTAACAAGGTTTAAGCCAATCCCAATAAAATGCGAGTAATGAAAGCAGGCAGTAGTTATGAAATACCGAACAAAAAACTACAGTTAGAATTGAATTTATTTTACCATACCTTAAATTTGATGGTATTTAAACTGGCCTCAAAACTATCACTGACAGAATTCTTCTAGTTTATTTTCAACAGCCAATTTCACATTTACAGTTATTTATTCGTCTACATCCTCTGTCTTTTTTTCTAATATTTCACTATTTTACTTTACATCGTAAAATAATATTTTAATAAAAGTATATTTTATTTGTAGCCTACATAACACCTCGTTTAAAAACAAAGTATTTCTTTATAACCTTTACATAATATATTTATGTGGCAAGAAAATCACGGATGGCGTACTGGCTTAAGCGGTCGCCACGCCGCTTACCACTACGCTGAGTATTGTGCGCACAAATTGTTGTTCTGAGTCTGGATGTTCTTTGTGTTCGTTTCATGTATGTTTTTAAAATCCCCCGCGACACAGGATATATTCCTAATCCGGTAGATTAGGAATATATAATGTGTCGCGGGGGATTTAAAAAAAAAAACAACTGTAGCAGCTGGGTAAAGGTATAAAATGATTTAAGACTCAAATCTTTAAAAAACATTAAAAGTCAAGTCTATTCTATAATAAGTTTATAGTAAATTATATAATAAGTTTAAAAAAAAACAAACAAAAACAAAGGATGTATTGTCTCAGTTACAATAAGGAAACTTAAATGGAAGTGGACGGGGCACACTATAAGGAGACGAGAGATATGGTGTAAAACTATAAGGTACCCGAGAGACAGAAAAAGAAACCGAGGTTGACCATTTAGGAGATGGGTGGACGACATTAAAGCAGGTGCGGGCAGCACATGGACTAGAACAGCAGAAAACAGGAGTCTATGGAGGCCTATGTCTATAATAGACAAACAGACAAAATCGATAATAATTGTAATGATAATCAATAACTAATTCAGATATTAATTTATGAAGTAAACTATTGTAAATATAATAATATATAATATTGTAATTAAATTAGTATTAATGCTATTGTTTTAAACATATTAAATAATTAATCAAATGAAATAATAATTGTGCATGTAAAACTAAGTATTTTGTCTGAATAAAGGTTCTTTTTATTTTTTTATTTTTTATTATCTAGCAGATCTGCATTCAAGTCGACATAACAAACATCACCATAGTATAATACTGGGCAAATCAAAGTCTGCACAAGCATCGTGTTTGCCACAGTCCGGCGCAAAATTTACATTCGATAAAGAATTCGCAAGATGTTAGTGAACATTTGGCCGATATTTGACCAAGTTTTTGATCTGTCATTTGATAAAAAAATTGTGTCTCAGGTCAAAGGTCAACATTTAGTAAAACAATATATGTAGATATGGCATACAAGTCCCTTCCAATCGGTCTGTTTATAAGTAATTCAGGTTGGTGGTGCCTCTTTTTTTTTATTTATTATTGACACGCCAACATGTATATATACAACATTGTTCAAAATGCAGTTCAATATGAAGGAAAGTTCTTGTTAAAATTAAAGTGAACGAAAATCAAC